TCCAGGTATAATGAAAGTCACCTGTATATGGAGACTTGTATGGAAATTGTTCCAGATTTTATCTTATTACTGCCATAACCTATAATTCAGTAAGTGTAATCCATAAAAGTTAAGTGTGTATCTGCCTTCATATAGAGGTGAAAGTGTTTTCTGTTAACCCTTGCCACATCTAATGCAGTAGTAAAATGTAGTACCTCTAACTTTAGAATGTACTAAAACAGTAGAATTTGTATGGTGTTGAATGATAGTAGCCTTGCTGGTCAAGAAATTGCCTGCCTTTTATGTAACCTGAATGTTCTTTATTGTGTTCACAACAGCTTCCAAATGGACCTTATCCTGAGCTTGATGAATCTAGTGCTCCCAACTAAGGGTGCGAACACAATGAAGCTGACCAGACCAGCCACTGTTTAGAACTCTGGTGATCCAAATGCTGTGACTTATGCAGCTGGGTCACTAGAGTTCCACTCTGGTTGGTCTAGTCTGCTTCAGTGTTTTCACACTCTAAGCAGTTCCTCTCTAAACTGTTACACATTTCTTATTTCTGATCTGTAAACCTTTTCCTTTACAGTTCTCGGTAAATAAATATAACAGGATCATGCTCACCAGACCACTACACTACAAGTGCTTCTGTTCTCCAGTACATCTCAAACCTATTAGGATGCCCTTGCTGTGTGAACAGCAGCAGAGTCATTTAGAATAATGCATACCAGCATTCATCCATCATCTGTTGGCTGCTCAAAAAACTGGTTGAGTATCTGTTTCTTGTACTTTTCAGAATGAATTATGTCCTCAAAGAGATTGATCCAATTATTCTATCTTTACTCAGACCACAACATAACCAGTTTTTAGAATCATGTAGTGGAACCTCATACTTGGTCTCTTGACTGTATCTGCTATTCTATTAATTTACATCCTTGTATAAGTGACACCGAGCCTCATTAGAATGGAAAATAATGAGGGTTAATTTTCACAGACTTGATGATCCATTTACAAAAATTTGTTGTTAGTGGGACTATGTGGCTGCACTTCTGTTGTCTAAAATTGTTTCATAAGTAGTTATGTGGCAGTTTGCAGTGGTCTTGGTGGGTTTCTATTCTTGTTTAATGGGAGGGTTCAGTAATGATGTTGTTTCAGTGACTTACTTTCCAGACAGGAACTCTTTAACATCCTGAAATTTATACTGGAATCTTCTACTTTTCATGTAGAACCTCTTTGTTTAGTAGGTATCGTACGTGAACACTCATATGTACCTTACATGTGGCATTTCAGCATAGAAAATAACTCTGAATGACTAATTATAATATAGGTCAAGTACTGTAGTGAGAGTTAAAGCAACATGAGGCTTGGGTTAACCCTTAATGCACAAGTTTCCTTCATTGTTGCACTACCTAAATATATTTGGTGGCACAAAAGAATAAGTTTTTTAAAAGCAGCTGTAAAAGTGAATGGCTCGGCATATTCCAATGTAGCTCTGAACTGAAAAAAATCTTTTTGTTTGCAAACTTAGTTATGTTCTACACATCTTGTTTCAGTTACTAGATCTAACAGACCATTCTAACCTATCAAATCCCTATAACTTACCGTACAGTTTGGAGATCCTAGCCTAAACGCAAGCTATTCCTGCGTAATTGAAAACAGCATTGTAAAGATATATCTTAAATCCCTGTAGAGGAACTCAATTCCATAAACCGTGAGCTTGGAATACAACGAACACAGAAAACCTAACCTGTTGTAGAACTTCACAACGTTCCAAAAGTAGCTGGTATTTACGTCGATATGTATCCACTTCATTCTTTTCAACTTCATCATCTGAATCATATGATAAATTATTTGAACCAGATACAATCATTGCTATTTCGCGATTTGTTGCTCAACCCGCAGTCAAAAAGTCCTCTTAGCAACTGAGTTACAAGACGTGACTAATACAGTCATGCCATCCAATAAAGGGAAGGATTGCCAACATTGAACGAAAACAGGCATCATACATTGCTGTTATCATGATCGAAACCCAGTTAAAATAATTCAGCACTTGACGCAAAGAAAACTGAGTACTTCCACATTACAAATTTCAATGTGTTAATTCTGCTTATTGAACTGCTAGAATATAATGGAATAGAATAGAATGTTTAAACTCAGAATTATACGTAGTGAAGAAAGACCCGGTTTGTTGAATGTCGAACTGGTGGGACAGATGCTTACTGCTTGGCAACAAAAAAATAATTATTTTTAGTTACACTGCATCGGGGAAAAAATATTAGAGAATTTCGTCAGTCAAACTGTTTTCAGTGTAAAAATGTTAGAGGAACAAGCGTGGTTCTCTGTTGACATCGTAATCTATGAAATTATATTTCTAACGATAAGTCGTCGGCGAGAGGTTTATTCAGTCGATAATCGATTTGAGGAAGTGTGTCTGTTGACATTGTGTTCCGTTGTATGTTTGGTTCGCGTTGTTCTTTGGTTGTCGATATAAATCGCATTTGCACTTATGTTGACCAATGTTTTAAATGCAATGAAATGGGAGTTTTCTGCTGAGAGCGTGTTCGCGACGGAGGTTATGTGTTTGAAGTTCTAGTATATAATTGTATCAGTGGTGACGATACAGTTAGAAATAAAATTTGTGTTTATCTCGAATTTTGTGTTTAAACATCGTAAACTGTGGTCCTATATACATTTCGTTGTGTAGGATAGGATGTATTCTTTAGTGGCTTAAGCCGTTCGTCGAAATGTGACCTTTTTTACACCTGAAAATATACCGAAATTTTGTGTTGTAATCCGTGAATGTTGTGTTAACTGTAATATAGTGATAATGGATGCTATCTTCTGTTCTTGAATATCGTGAGATAACAAAACATCCCTTAAAGTATTAAAAGAGTATCCATGTTGTAATGCATGAGCACTGCACGTGTGTATTGGAACACTTCAGGTAAGCATCGTTTGCTATGTTGATTTGTTGGAAGGTAGATTATTCAATGTTGAATTATATGAAACAGTCGTGTTTATGTAACGGCGCTGACGTATAGATAATAGACTCGACCGATAAAATACTGTGTGGTAACAACAATTAGAGCAGTTTCATATTTGGTAGAGCCGGCATTAAGTATTACAAAGTACAGAATTTCAGTAGACATGCAGGCGAAAACTGCAGGAAACCTATTCAATATATTAGCATATACAATGAAGATTTTAAATGGAATCAACTAAATGTGAATCAGGAACGCCTTCTGTAGAATGTTCGTGACTGCGTGAGGCATAGATCTCTGTGCATCTGTAATGCAACCCAACACAAGTGATGTCCAACAGTACGAATGTGATGACTAGAGAATGTTTGGACGAAAATTCATGAAATTTGGTATGGTCGTTATGAGGTCGCTACTGCAATCTATTGCATTTTACACTCCTCGCTCGGTAATACCAACTTGACGGCTGCTTAAAGTTGTAAGGTGGGCTGACGACGCTATTGCGCATAGTTCTTGCTCATCTGTAACCTGTTGAGGCTCCTCGATACCTACCCAGTCCTGTCGGAAATTGTTGATACGTGCTCTAATCAGCCCCGAACGTTGTAACTCGTCCAGACCTGTCGAAATGTGCCCAAGTCTGATAAAAGCCGTCGAAATCTAAACAGCCCCATCCAAACCTCCATGTTCTGGCTTCTGGTAAGGTTTCTGGCTAGAAACAGTGACACGAAAGTCGTTTCTCGAATGTTTCCGCAGTACCACTGCGGGCACTGTACTACTAAAGTCTGTCTGAAAAATGAAGGCGGCTACCGAATTTTTTGTGTAGCCAATCTTAGGTAAGTAGAATCCTGTATATTCAACGAGATCTCCCGTATGGCATTCCTAGTTTCTAGACGTCTTATGTTTACGAAACCACAGACATTTATGTATTTGTAAATAATATCGATATAAGTTACTTTTGAACGAAGAAACTTTCATGTTAAGGGATCTCTTATAAGTAGTCGCAGACCTCGGCTTTTCATGGTTTCCCTAAGTCCCTCCAGGCAAATGTTGGGATAGTACCCCAAAGAAATATTATGATTGATTTCTTTCAAATCCCTACCAACCCACCATCATTATTAATCCTTTTTCAATCTGTTTGAAAGTGTGTAATTCCTGCAACCGGCGTTGAATTACAACGTTGACATGTGTCATGTATAGCAACAAAAATAAGAATTTTATGAGTTGAAATGGTCGAACAATTTTAAATTCCAATTGATGACGTTTCTGTCAGTTCTCTTTGCAGGTTACATTAATGAAAGAAAATCAAGAGGTAAAGAATGAGGATTTGTTCTTTGTTTAACATTCTGCAGGTAATAAAAATTGTTGCAGAAATATAACGAAAGGCTTCAATGAAACACAGGAATTAGTGTAGGCATATGTCCAAAATAGTAAAATGATAGGATTCCATAGTAGGTTTAAATTCATTATGGCATGCCTTCCTCATGTATTAATATAAATACTGTGTTCGACATCAGGTTAGAAAATTTTGGCTTATAAACAAAAATTATAATAAAAGCAAGGTATTAATTATCGTACTTGGTTTTTTCATCATCAGTGCATCCCCCTGCCATCTGGTAAGAGAAGTATAAACCCTGTGTGTTTGAATTTCCCACTGGTGCATGAATCCGGTGGAAATAGAATCTAGTAACTTTTTAATGGTGACGTTATGAACTACGTCATTAAATCCACTAGGCCGTCTACCTTCGAGGACCTGGTAGCCACATTCCTGCCACAGACAGAGTTTAAGGTGTGAGGTTATGGTAGTTCTGAATGGTATGTGGCAGCACATATGGAGTTGCGTGACTGTATAATCCGAAGGTGGCAGGTTTGTCCACGTTTCAGACGATTAGCAAAGAGTTTTATATATATATGTGACAACTGTAGTAGTGTTTCAACGCGGATTATGTATCGTTTTAAGTTTATAGATGGCCTATAATTCAGTTTCAATCGTGATATGTAGTTTTGGTACAACATTTGGCGAAAGCTTCCGATATTTTCTACCTCTGTGGACGGTAAGACAAGTTTTATTGATTGCTTCCAGTGTATAATTTCGGGTTATTGTGTTTGATGAAATAAACTATAAAAGTTTTGTTTTTTAGACTTTCAAGTGTTGTGTAAAGTATGCAGTTATTGAAATTTAAATTATTTGTGGCAACAGACGGAGTTACAGGTCTAAATATGACAGTTACTGCAGGCAAATAATTTGTTATGTTAACTTGAAAGGTTCTAGTGAGAAGGGGGGGGCAAACTTTATGATTTTAGGTTAAAATACCCAATAAAAGGACTTAGACAGTAGCGAGCAAAAGTAATAAATAAATGGGGACATGATACGTAGAATAAGTCTCAACATTTAAATATCTGGGATGCAATTGATCAGTTTATGGGTATTGATTGAAAGGAGGATATAAAGAATATAACAGGTCAAATGTGTGCATTTGAGAAGTTCTGGTAAATATATGGGGAAGGCTGTACAACGAAGATTGTTATATAGAATGATAGAAAAATTACGCAGTCCATATTAAAAATATTTACTGATGGCTGGAATTCAATACAATTCGATTAGATCAGTAAACACACAATGTCGCTATGGCTACACAGAAACCCACACAGGTCACCTCAGTGTAAACTGCTGGCGTCAGCCTTGAGTTGTCTTCAAACAGTAGAAATGCAAGGACGTCTTTTATCAGATATAACAAGTGTTAACTGTGTAACACCACCGTACCAGAAGGTGTTTGGGGACACATCAGCAATAACTCGTCTGGTGAACTGTTTCCGTGACGCAGGAAGTGTGGAGGACAGAAAACGTCCAGGTCGACCTTTGGTGTTAAAATACGATAATTTGGACGACATCCGTCAAACTTTGTTACGATCTCCACCAAAGTCACTTAATATTACATTGTTTTCTTGTTTGCTGATTTCAGCGTGTTTTATTTTTGACAAATATAACGTGTGTCAAGAATGGGTTGTGTGAATTATCGAATCGAAAATAATACTGTGTCTAAACTAGCTCTCGAAAATTGAAGAATGGGTTGTGTGAATTATCGAATCTAAAATAATACAGTGTCTAAACTAGCTCTCGAAAATGAGCCAAAGATAGGAGACGTTTAGAAATGACGCGTGTGGGATATTTCAGACCAGCGTATGGAATGACATTGAGAGATATAATTAGAAATGAAGATATTCGCTCACAGCCTGAAGAAAAGAATATAAATGAAGAGATTAAAGGTTATCAAAGTTGGTGGAAACAGACTGCTCGCATATCGAGAATGCTCCTGTTTCGATTTTTGCAAGCTTAATTTTATAAACCTTCTGATAAGCGAGACTTGGGATGTCAATGAAAAAGGTAAAATTATCCATTTTATCCCCGACGTATGTTCGAGTGGAGTTACAGCTCCATGCATTCGTAATCTCGGCTCTAAATATGGGTTAGCTTCACGCTCCGGCTACGTTATCCTTGGGGAAAGAACCTCTATTCTGACGTACGGTTTGGACCCAACGGCGAAGAGAGAAATTCTGCCCCCGCGGGGAATCAAATCACGTTCGTTTAGTTGGTAGCCTGGTCGACATTCTGAAAACGTTCATGGCTCTACATAAGTTCCGCTCGGAATATGTTTCATATATAAGCAACTAGAAACCCACTGACCTTGTGAAGCTTCGAGGTCCAATTTAACAGATTTAACGTTCTGGGAATCAGTTTTTCTGTGAACTATGCACAGAAATGAATCACTGATTTGTATTATTAAATTTATAGTTTTTGGTAATCTCGTTGTATTGGATGAAACATTTGAAATAAAGTTCGTCTTAAGCCTTGTTCAAGAGCAAAATATCGTAAGAACAAGCTTGTAAAATGACCATTGGTCGTCATCAGTTTGGTTCAATAGTCTTATCACGTGTTTGACCTTACATAGAGCGAGGGTCGGTAATAAGACAACGAAGCATTTCAGATCGAACTGTACCGTCAGATGCAAAGTTCTGTTGTAACTGAGTGAAGTATAGGTTGCAGGTCACACGGTTCACAAAGCCTTCGTGTGTGTGTGTCTTCACCGCCAGTGAGAAACTATTTAATGGAATATTTCTGTAATTACGTTTTATTCAATGCCCTGTGCTTTACGTATCATCAGTGAGTAACTTTAATTACATTATTAACTGAGCTGAGCGAAACAATGACAACGAAAAGCAGAATTCTCGTGTTAAACGCAACAGAAAATTTGTTAACGCACTTTTATACTTTAAAATGTTTGCTAAATGTGGTTTTGGTGATGGTGTTCTGTGATTTTTCGAGCAAAGTTTTAGAGAATTTTTGTGTTTTATTTTGTGAAATCAAAGTTTGAAATAATATTGGAGATTTGGTGGTACACTTAACAATGTGATTTTTTTTTCATTATTTAATACCCATATTACAAGAACGCTGAGGAAGATCGTACATACAAATACACCGCAGATGAAGACGCAGTGCCAGTATATTCATGTATGTTTATTTATGATACATATGGTTATTTTATAAGTTATGTTAGTTGTAAGACTTAATTAAAAACCCAAAGTATAAGTGAATAAGTAATTACGTGAACTGGTCCAATTTATATTCCATTAAACTGTTATGCTATGAATCATCTTGTTAGAACTAGTACAGCCGAGGGTTACTACCTAAGCAAATCTCGAATTATAACAATCTAGGTTTAAATTATTTGGTGTTTTTCACAGTATTGAGTCCAAAAGAAACAACTCCTCTATTTCAGTGTTTTGAGAAAGCTAATTGAAATTTGACGAACAATATAAAATACGACAAACACTGAAAAATGTTGTAGACAAAAGTGACAATCACAAATGGCTCGTGTGCTACATAGGATACGTTCTTAAGAAGATAACATTATTTTTTGGGACAGTGTGAGATAGTAGTTCATTGCCTATTGAAACATTTTTCAGAAATCAAACCTGTAGCCGTTGACAAGATATTTCTGTTTTATTATCTTCAAACTTTTTGTGTCGAGATAATGGTTGTGAAGTACCGAAGTGGACTTTGTGAATGTGCTTTATGAATCTCTCATATTTATGATATACTGGGCACTCATTACGCTCTACGAGATCTGGACATAATGTTTTTATTTTCCTATTTCTCGTTAGTATTTCCAAAGTATTTAGGTCGGAACATGAATGTTGCTGTGTAGTCCTGTAGAAGTTAACCGACGTTTCAAACGAGCTTAATGACTCCACCGGGACGATGAGATCACCTTGATAGTCATAATTAGAGTGGAGCTAGATTGCATTTGCTTTTTAAATATACTTGTTAATGAGGCTTGAATCGTTCGTCTTTACAAGGGTGGTCTGTGTTGATTATATAATGGTCTTTGCCCTTAATTTATTTTGAGGAAATTAAGAAACTACGAATTAAAACTGATAGCAAGGGTAATTTAGTGGAAGTGTTGGTAGTAACGGGTTCCGAAGGAGCTACAAGTTACCAACGAGAGCTCCGTAATTTTCTAAGCTGCCAAGGGCATGTACTCTTTCAACATTCAAATCTTGGTGGTAGGAATAAACATAGCAATTTTGCAGAAGAAAAGCAAAGATAAGGCGGTCTCGATAAAATCCATTATCATCTGTAGTTTTTTTTTATAACAGACATATATGTACGTTTCACATAACAGTCATGGCAGGGACATGCAGAATGGACTGTGCACAGGGCTGCGTACTGAAAAACCAGAAAGATTTGCATTAGCACCTCAAGGCCGAAGCCCCCCTGAACAACCTTAGATATAAAGTTGAAATTGTGCCGTCGGTTTTATAACTTCGTGTCTAATGGAATCTCGTCGATCACCTGTTACCAATATGGCGTCTTGTGGCGGCGTCACAATTAATGCCGTCCCGACGCTCGGCCATGGTTTGTAGCACATTGCGTCCCGAGGCTTCTGTTTACTTCAACTGCATTTCGGAGTCGACTTCTGTTTTCAGTCTTCGTATAATATATCGTCCAGAGGGTTATATACACTAAATTTTGGAGTTTATGGAATCGCTAGACGTTAGACGTCGCTTTGCCAGCATCCCAAAGATTTTCATGGCCTTATTTTGGATTCTGAGTCGTCGTGTCGGATCGCGTCTAGATGTCAACGTTAAATATGTTTAATGTCGGCGTCGTGGCTCTTATATTCAGTTTGCATATCCCCAAGGCCTCTCTTGGCTTGGTTTCGTTGTTTTGATTCGGCGTCGAGAATTTTCCCTGGTTCATGTTCGCTACCGTTGGTATCTTGAATCCGCTTCGCGATGATAATGCTGGAAAACGCGACTCCACGTAAGACGTGAAAGGTGACACGAATGAACCACGGAATGCCATCGAACACGGCACGGAAAACCAGATACGACATATTTAGAGCAGGTGGTCAACTGGACGCTATTCGACACGCTGTAAACCAACGCCAAGTGTCACAACTGTGTTTGTTTCCATAATATATCTTCTTGCTAGGCAGCCATATTGAAAAAGTGTTGTGTATTCACCATTTATTTAATTCGTAAAGTGATCACTATTTGAAGATGGCTGTCTTCTGTGTTGTAGCACCACGTAGTTTGGTAGACGTTGACCGTTGTTTCAGAGGTCATTGCTGCCGTCATCATCATTGCATTGAGTGATCTCTGAAATACTGATAAACTTCTGTCAGATTACCTAGTGTTACAATCCTTATAACATCCATCTTTGTACCTACCACCATGAGAACTTCAGATGCTACTGATTTATTTTTAAGAGTCGTAAATCTCGATCACTTTTATTATTTCAATAAGTTTATTTTAAAAAAAACCCAGCTGAAGAATGAGCGCTTTCAGCCCTCATTAGTGTTTGTGCAGCGAGAATTTTTCAAGTGTCCTAGCAAATCACTGAACAGCTACCATGAAGTAAACTTATTCTTTCTGGACCAGTTGTGGACTGTAGGTGTAGACTGACTTTATCTGATTCAGGAGCTGTTCTAGTGGCAGGGACTTTTGAACATGGTAATGAATCTTCAGTTTCCGTAAAAAGACAGGGAATTTCTTAACTACATGAGCAACTATTAGATTGTCAGAAAGAAAGAACTCCCTTTGCTGGATTTAATTAAATATCAAAGATAATATTAAACCATTGAAGTCAGATCCTTTACTTTTTTGTTATTTATATTAAATTCAGCACAAAATGTCACAATACATTATAGTGGTAGCAAATTTCTTTATACTGCAGCATAATTCTGATTTTCTTCTACAGAAGCCACCAGGACAAAGGCATCATCGAAGCTGTCACTGCTGATGCACAGTCATCTGTTCCTGTATGTAAATTTCTGCCCAGGTCAAAGGCCAGTTTCTTTACCACTGCGCCTTAAGAACGGCAGCCAGAACAGAGAGAAGTTGAATTTATCAACTCCAGCGCTTAATTCAGACTTTGACTTTGTTTGCTTCAACTTAATCACATTGTTACGTATGAAATCGACACCGCAGTTTTTCAGTTTCCATCTCCGTCGAGATTTGCCGGAATGGAATTTAGCACCGACCATGAAGCAACTGCAGATACGGATTCTAATGTTCAGAAATCAATCACACTCTCACCTCAGTTTAATTACAGAAGGACCACAAGTAGCAAAGAAAATGTTAAGAATGATTACATAAATGCGATGAATAGTGCTGCTACCCATGAGGTTGGTGTTTGTGGCATGAATGAGCGACATGCAATGGGCAATGACACCAAAGAATTTGCTGATCTAATAAATCATTTTAAACTTGATAGAAACCATAGTATTAAAAGAAGCGTCCAGTTTCACATGGAACCTACCAAAGTGGTTCCTAATGGTGTTACACCACTTGAGAATTTGTTGGCAGCAGATGAAGGCTCCTCTTCCGGAAAGACCTTACTTCCCTCTAGAGTGAAGAGCAGAGGAAGCCTTACGTCTACTCCCAGCCATTGCGGTACTTGTTACAGTGATGATGCTGATAGTGATGTAGATGATATGGGAGATGAATCTTCTCAGGAGGAACAGTTTTCAGAACCTCAACCTCCAGATGGAGGTTGGGGATGGGTTGTTGTGATTGCTGCTTTTGTCACAAATCTTATCGCTGATGGTGTAACTTTCACATTTGGCATCATCTACGTGGATTTGTTGCGATATTTTGGTGAAGGAAAAAGTAAAACTGCGTGGATCGGTGGACTTTTCATGTCCATGCCTTTAATATCGGGTCCAATAGCAAGCTATCTTACCGATCGTTTTGGATGCAGACGTGTCTGCATGTTTGGATCCATACTTTCCGCTTTTGGATTTGTTGTTAGTTCCTATGCAGAGTCTATAGAACTATTAATATTTACTTTTGGTATTATCTCTGGTTTTGGGCTGGCTCTCTGTTATGTAACTGCTGTGGTTATTGTTGCATATTATTTTGAAAAACGTCGTTCTCTTGCAACTGGGTTGTCTGTGTGTGGAAGTGGTTTTGGAACTTTCCTGTTTGCGCCGTTGACAACATTCCTAGTGACTGAATATGGCTGGAGGGGTACAACCTTGATCCTTGCTGGACTTTTCTTGAACATGGCTGTTTGTGGAGCATTAATGCGTGATTTGAAATGGACCAAAGAGAAGTCAAAAGCGCTTCGTAAAGACCGATTGCAGAAGAATAGGAATAAAAGAAAAAATAAGACCTACAATCAATCTCTGGAAACAACTGTATCTGGCATGGGGATGTTACATCACAAACAACAGCCTCATGGATTTCGTACCACAAAAGAGTTGAAACAGTTGCCGCAGAGGGGAGAAAATCCAGGTGAGGAGAATAACTGTAATGGTGGTGAAAGCCACTTTTGTTGTTGGTCTGTGAATATATTTTCAATGGGTAATCATTCATAACGACCCATTTATCTTGAACTTCATAACATTCATATTATGAGATACACTTGATACTCATAACATTGTCATGCTTTATTTTGAACGGTTGTTTTGCAGATTACATGTTGGCAGACAAACCAGGAAGTAAGAATGGAATATTCAGAAATGGAAGCGAAGATCTAAGCCGTCAGTGCAGTTCTGTGCTGAACTTACCAACTTTTGTCTGTAATGGTGAGAAGGTTTCTCTGGAAGTCTTGGAACTTTCAAGCTCAAATCAGAAATTATATAGCGTACTAATCCAAAAGTGTCCAGGCCTTTTAGCAGCATCGAGGAGTGTCAGTGATAGTGGACTTCTCCACGAAAATAAACATTTTGTCACCAATAATATAGCACCTCCTTCTTCTCTAGTCATCATTCCACATCCGTCCATGCAACATCAATCTTCTTCCACTTACCATGACAGAAAGACTGACAAGGAGTTACCCAAGAATGCAACCATCGAAGAAGATTATTTGTCAGGGTTGAAAAAAACTCAGCAACAGCAACAGCATCGTCATCATAATCATAATCATCATCATCATCATCATCATTACTCGAGCAGAAGAAGTTCAACTTCACATATCAGAGACTTGAAATTTCATAGGTAAAATCATGATCATCTTATATTTATCACTTTAGTACAAGATCTTTCTTTTGTCTGTTAGTTTATATCTGTGTAAAACTTGGTCTCCTACTTTTAGGGAAGAACACAGATTGCAGGTTTTTACACACAAAGTACTGGGGAAAATATTTGAGGTTATGTAATGACCTCAACCCCTACTATACATGAAGCTGTCAATCAAGTCTTTTGATTTTACCAAAATTGATACACCATGTAAAAGCTAGTAGATAAAATGAAATATATGCGCTATTAAGATGTGCAACTTTTATTCAAAGTATATTCAGTTTTGAGAACATTTAGCGAAATATAATGAAGATTAATTTCTGTCGTATGGACCTGATACTGGTATTGTCATCAGCTTTGCAGCACTAGACTTTATCTGAAATAAATTAATGTCAGTGCCAATGAGATATAAAAAATATCCAAAGACTGCACATGAGAAGTATCTGTTTGAAAACACAGTATTCATTATAATAACCGATGTGGTGAAGACACAAAAAGCAACAGGTGATTATAGTGAAATATTGCCTATGCACTAAGTAACTGCAATGGCAGTACAATAACAAGAAGCTGTAGGAAGAATGTACAGCGTCCGCTTTATTTGACATGTTTTATCCAGCAGAAACTATCAATACGTATACATTTAAAAATCCATTTCCGTGAAAAACTTCATCCAGTACACCTTCCGGAGAAGTTAAATTTTCGGGATAAAATACCAAAGATTTGCACAGACACCTTGTTCGTAATTTTTAACACAGGATAAACATGTTTCAAACATGAAGATTTCTGTCTTCTGGGTGGTTGCGCTGCGTAGTCTGGTCGATGTTAACGAACGTTTCAGAGGTCATACTGCCTCCGTCATCAGGGTGAAGACGGAGGCAGTATGATCTCTGAAACGTTGCTAAACATCGACCAGACTACACAGCGCAACAACCCAGGAGACAGAAATCTTCATACTCACCGCTGTGAAAACCTCAAATCTCACAGAGAACATATTTTCATTCTTGTGTTGATATAAAGCATATTGTAACACTAGATATATTTCTGTAACTGCAATCTGAAATGAGGGAAACCATATTTATTATTACAGTTTCATGGCTCTGTTATATTTCCAGACTTCATAATAAAATTTGCAAATTGCTCCTTTTAAGGAATATTTATTTTTAATTTACAGAAATAAATTAAACCATAATTCATATTATACCCAATAGAGGTGCCTAGTTCTGATTGAGTATTCATTACAGGCATTCCTTAACGTACCGTGGTGCAATGCTGAACTTGAAACAACAATGTCTGCGTGCATCTTCATGTCCAAATATCTGCCGCAATTCCATAAACACGATATCTAAAAATGAAGATGAGGTATGGCAAAATAACAAATATTGATAATGTTTAATAGTCTTGTTTTAATTTTACCTCCTTATGAGCAGAATTTTTGTGTTTTTGAGCGTTGCATTTAAATCTGCAGGTTACAATTACATTTCAAGCAGTGAAATCAGCTCATAAGTTTTGGAAAGTAATTTTTTGTAATAGACGTCAAGCTAGGAAATTTATAAATACTGTATACTGAACTTAAATGCCAGTTGGTAATGGGATGCTTCTTTCAGTGGTTTATTGGATTATATGATATATGGGATTTAATGGTGGATATGGTGGATGTGTCGCACTTCACCGACATCCGCTTTGTGCTTTTTGCTCTCTCCAACTTCCTGCTTTACTCGTGGTACCATGTACCATATATGTTTCTGGCAGATAAGGCTGGTGAGATGGGATTCTCAGAAGACGAGAGTTCTAACATCATCAGTTACCTTGGAATCTTCAACACAGTTGGTGAGGTAAGCACAGAATTGGAAATAGTAAACCCTCAATTTAACAGACTAAGAGGGGGAAGGCGTGTGTGGTAAATTTATGTTTGAAGTTATCAAGGCATATTTCAATTTACCAGAAATGACTAAGGAAACATTTTAAAATCTCAGCTGCAATAACCATTGTCCCATCAGATTCAAACTGAGTACCCTCTGAATATAGGTCAGATGCATTAAAATTACTTCAGCGTCTTCAGTCAGATGTAGAGGTTAGTGTATTAACACATCTTTTCTTGATCAGTGAGCATATTGACCTGAACTTATATTTGCAGATTGTCCTTGGTTGGGCCGGAGATCGGCCTCAGCTGAACGCAGGCATGATCTATGCCCTCTGCATGACTATGTGTGGCATAATGACGGCATTCATTCCTCTTCTCTCGTCCTACACTGGACTGTGCATTGCGACTGGAGGTTTTGGCCTGTCCATTGCTGCCAACTATTCAATGACATCTATCATTCTGGTGGAATTGATCACATTGGATCGATTCACCAATGCATATGGTCTCTTGCTTCTAGTTCAGGGACTTGCTAATCTTCTGGGGCCCCCTCTAGCAGGTATGAAGTCATTATGTTTTAAACCCCTTAACCTCTTAAATATTAATAATTTTATTTACAAATTCATTATTGTCTAATATATCTAAACATTCTGTTTTTAACAGTATAACCTGTTTGTGGTGTCTAAGTTTCTAATGAGAATATTTCTTTTTGATTTTGGTTTGATATTGATCTTTAATAATACTTTTTAATAAAAATCTTACCATTATGATGTGACAATTTATACATTTTCTTTCTTGTCTGATCATAACTGAATATTATTGGTACTCCCATTCATTCTTCCTTTACTTCTATATTTAATTTGTTCCCTTATAGCTCTTCACCACGTGGTTCCTGATATGCTGACAAAAATCTAATTGTTTATGTGTACTGGTCCCCTTAATATTTGTCCTGAAATAGTTGCTTACTATGAAATCATTAAACCTTGGAATCAGTGAGGGCTAGCAGCCCTATAGTAAAGGGATTTAAATCCCCTATTATCAATCAGTAAAGGTTAAGAAATTGGCTACAGTGGTGAGAATGAGACATGTATAAAGAGACCTAACTCATCCTCGTATCTGATTAAATATAGGTTGGCTGTATGACACATCAGGGACCTATGACCTCTCCTTCTATGTGGCGGGGTTTTTCATCATAGTGTGTGGGGCTCTTCTCGTCATCTTGCCTGCCATACAATGGACCAAGCAAAGGACAGAAGCTAAGACATTCAGCACATCATCATCAAAAGCAAACGGTGTTCCACAGCAGAATAATCTGATTTGTGAAGAAGACTGTAACTTAAAAGCCATAAACCTTCTGTCAGCTTGCAGTGGAGAAAAAAATCCTGTGTTGAACGTTTGACAAAATTATCAGCCACTTTTCTTAAACAATAGCAGTCATTTTATATTTTCCACAGGCTTTGTATTGGTAATGTTTATATATATGAAACACCATATGCAGCTTCTTCACAATTCTTTTATTTAACCCAGTATGTTCTGTCTATGTGTTTGACATGTAGATTGGTTTTCTAACCTAACATTTCCATTTTCATTGTTGAATTCTATAGTTTGATCAGTTACATTTTCCTTCTGTTCCTTTCACTTAGTGTCCACGTGCTGTACCTTTGATGCTTGCTTTTTGCTATTTTTATTCTTTCTTGTGTTAGTCACTTTAATGCCCTTTATGGATAATTTAACAAGAAATGCTAAGGAATAGTTCTTACTCACTTCTGAAATGAAGCATAGAAGAAATTGAGGTAGCAGTCGTAATTAGCTGCTCAGCATAAAATAGGCACTTCCTGTTTTATCTACATTTTCTTGAAAATTAAATATAAAGGACCCAAAATATGTATTTTATTAGTGTTTAAATTGTTTTTGGCTTTGGCCATATGGATATTTAGCAACACTTGTTTGAAATTGAATTTAGGCTTGTATGAAGGAGTAGCGACACATTAATTTTAACTAAGGAAGGACCTCAACGTGAAGTCTCTGATTTACCCACATCACAAAGTAACTGTTCCATTTGACCGTATGGATTGATAGACATTTGCCATTACAAGTTGTCCTGTAATGAAATAGCACGATGTTGTGAATTTGAAATAAAAAATTATACATCAGAATACATAATTAAGATTATCTAACAGTTATGGGACACTGTCTTTACGTGGCAGAGAGCTATGCCGGCGGTAGCTTAGCTACTGGTAGGTCCAACCTTGCCAGACAGGTCAATGCTTAGGGGCCAGACGAAAGGTGTCTCAAACCGCTCCATCGGTTCTGGTTGGGCGTGTGGCTGACAACCCACCCCGTAAAAATCAATTGTTGAGAAACCTCATGAAAAAAAAAAGAGGAGGCCAAGGCCCGATATGGGCTGTAGAGCCATTGGGTGGATGGATGGATGAACAGATATGGGACCAGATGAAATTGTTTTAATGGGGAGATTTAACCAAAGAACTTTCTATTGAACATATCTGGTATATATGATCTGTAACTTTCGTGGAGACTGAATTCATCGAAGTCTTCGTGAGCAGTCGACTGCATTATGTGGCTAATGTGGCTGATTTCCTGCGAAGACTTATTGAATGTCTGGTGTACGCTGTCGAGTAATAGAAATGGGAGGTTTGACTTCAATGTTGTTACATATATGTAATATATATGCATCTGCACATTTTTTATAAGTAAGCATTTTGCATAAAGGTGTGAAAACATGTTTCATTTCTTCACCTGCTTTGGAATTTCATTTGGATGTTAATAAATGTAAACTCTCATTCATGTAACATCAGTATTCTCTGTTTTGAGGAGATTTTTTTCAAGAGATTATGAAGTAGCTCTGCTTCTGTGACTGGCATAATGACTCCATTTTTTGACACTGGATTTCATCTTTTTTTTTTAGATTATTTTTAACTTTAAAAATAAATTGTTAATGTATATAGGCACTTTAATAAATAAAACTTCAAAGTGTGTCATATTTATTCTTCCTGCACAGAGTCAGTAAATAAAGTTGAGCTGATATTGGACAGTTTGTGTTTGTAAGAACATTTAGTCATAGAGACTGAATGTCACAAGCCAAGTGGAGGTCCTAGGTTCAAATCCTAGCCCAGGTACTGGCTATCCTGACTTTGGTTTTCCTCATACCCTCCAGGCAAATACCAGGATAGTACCTTAATATTAGGCTACATTTGCTTCCTTCCATATCATTTTCAGTTCATTATTTATCGATCATGCTGTTATTTAATGGTATTTAGTGTGAGCTACTGACAGCATGGTTAAATATACCATGAATAAATACATTTAGTCATAGAGACTAAATGTGTGAAAATATAATTTTCTAGTTTGATCTAGTCTGTAGATGAGTGACATACTTTATTGGGAACATAAGTTAAGATGGATGGAGCCAACAGCATGTGGACCTGATTTCCAAAGCAGTCGACATCCTATTTATCTGTTGAGATTTCAGGCTGTAACGGCAGCGAGAATGAAGGTAACTGTCTGCTGGGACATCCCAGCATGTCCCAGAAGACTATCATCTCTGGCGTGCTTTGGTTGTTCAAATCCAGAACAACTGAAATACCGCTTGGAAGTAACAGCACTTCCAGTACGCAGATGTAACAGGGACGCAATCCTAAAGTGTACTGGTTCATTATACGCTGCATATGAAGACCAATAAGAGTTAGAACATTTCAAAGAACTAATTTTCATGTGTTTTACTGTGTTCAAATTTACCGCCAGATGTGTGACGTCAGTGTACGTTCCTGCCAACTAGCGGCAAAGACTGAATGAGAACTTTAGTCGGTCGATTTGGTTCGGTGTAAAATGGCGCAATGTTTGAAGTAACTTACGTTTATGTGAAAGTGTTTAAAAGTGAGCAATTTCTTCTCTTTGTGTTATGTGCCCTAAAGTAACGAGAGTTCTTATTATAATAATGCTTAAGGTGTCAGTGTAAACTGTTTTCTCAAGAAAATTGTAATGTTTGAAGAAATGGTGTTTTCCCTCCTTCCATAGTGAGTGAGTGCATATGCATTATATGAAATTAAACTGGTGCAACGGTGTAGTAAAAGTGATATGAATTAATGTATTTGGCGACTGATAATATTTAGTGCAACAGTGGAAAACGCATTGCTGCCCATTCTTTCTGCCATGTGAGTAAAGAAAGTTTTCTTGTCCTTTTCTATCATTAAGTTAGGTTAAGTTAGGTTTTGTTAATCATGTACTCAGAGCTGTTATTCACTCTCCACTTTATTTGGTTTGGTTCGGTTTCTTCGTTAAGTTGGAGTTATTTTCTGTTGTGACTTTGCATTTATAATAATCACTGTTAATTCTGATTATTCCTCAAATATTGTTACAAACTAGGTTCTGTTTTACAGTTCTGTAAACTCATCTGAAATGATGATGGTCAGACTAATTGTTCCTTTTGCGGTAAGGTGTGCAACATGTATATAAAGCACAGCTCACTTCCCTTATCAAATGTTTACTTAATATTATTTTCTTCAAAACATGATTTTGATGTTGAACATGTATCAGTTCGAAATATTGCATGAAGTCTTGTTATAAAATACTTTTGAAGACTACAGTATTCAGGGCAAGCCCGAAAGTTGGAGACAGCCTGTTTTTCTGAAACAATATCTACCCTTTAATCTAAACAGCATTACAATTTATAATTCAAAGGACCTGCACCAACATTAGACATCATCTTCTATAACTTTGACTGCCTAATGGTCTGACCTACCTTCCTGTAAGTCTTAGACTGGTAGTATAAGCCACCGCAAAATGATATGCAAGTTGAGGGAAGACTAATCTGAATTTAGCAAAATCTTTTTGGACTCACAGGGATGTAGAAGAGGTTGGTTATTATACAGTACACAAAGGATAGGCGCAGTTAAGTTAGTATATATATGCATAGCATATCACTAGAGCAATGTGTGAGTGAGAGAGAGAGAGAGTGGGGGGGGAGAATGAGTTTGTGAAAAGTTTTCCAACAATATGTGTTACCATACCAGAGTACAATGAATGAAAAGTAATCCTACTGCAGTATACACCTATAAGACAGAGATATTTAACCACTGATGACATTGTATCATCGCATCTATTGTATTCACCTACCCATGGAACTGCCTGTCTCTTGCCTACACATTTGTGAATATAGGTAAAGAACTGTGTTTGAAGATGGCTGTCTTTCAATTCTGACAGGATGTGGTAAAATAAAGGGTTTTTTTGAACTTCCTAATGACAAAGTAACTCCCTTAGTTACACAGATGGATTTAAAAATATACAAGTATAATTTCTGAGGTCATTTATCATGATTTATCAGATTAAAATGTTGTCATCAAGGTATATGGTAGGTCTGTAAGAGGAACCATGATGACAGTTCATGACCACATTCACAATTTTTTGTCTTCCTGTAGCTTTTGTAACTCAAAGTTTATGGAAGCAACTGAATGTTTGAGAACTCCCTCATTAAACTCTGTAAGCATTTGGTATTACTGAATACCTTCTGTGTTATTAAATTCTGTAGGTATAAATATAACAGTTGTTTTTTAATATTTTATTCATTGCATTTGAGATTAACATTTTAACAGAGATTCTTGTGAATTTACATGAAAAGATAATAGGTGTATTTCAAAATTGTATATGATTAAAGAAAACACTATGAAATGAACCCTCCTTACATGCTAAGTTTAATCATACCACAGCACTGCAGGAACTGGGCAGAAATTTGTTTCAATACACAGACAGATGTTAAATGTTATATACACTCATGCCTCTGTAAACATTTGGAAAAATACCTGATGTTTCAGAAGTTCTGTACCTACACACAAATAGCATCTTATATATAATGGGAATAATTCATAGGCAAGGAGCATCTTCACTGCCATCCCAAGTTTTCTCCTTGTCAGGTTAGGATCAGTGGACAAAATTGCATACATTAGTTGCTGTATTTTTATGTAGGCTGGAGTTCATAAAAAACAAGCTGTTTACAAAATAAGTACTTATGCTACCAGATAATTATCTGGCATGTAAATATGATCAATAATAAGCTTCTTACTTTTTCTATCACATTCTGGGTCATACCAATTATCACAGACACAGGTATAGATTACTGAAAAGACCAGATGGTATTCTTCTGGTAAAGCCATTTATGTACATTCAGTTAGGACATTTCATTCAGTGGGTACGTAATATAATACTGCAGCATGCTTTACCAGGCCAATGCTCATTCTCAGAGAATATGATTATAAAGTTAAAACAAGAACGATGTGGGACAGACGCGTGTGATATATTCTTCAGATTTTATAAGAAATGCCCTTTTTGTGTAAAAATCAATTTCCAATAGGTTGTGTGTATTGAATAGCTTTCCAAAATGTTGTACTAGTGCATCCCATGATAAGCCCAAACTGATTATAGTAGAATTTAAAACAGCTGTCATGAAAATATAATAAAATGTAAACATCATCACTTATTTTACATAAATACACATAATGAAGTTGAAATTTATATTTTATTCACCATTATAGATTCTTTATTGTAATAAAATAAATGGAAAAGTGCAGGCTGAGAACATTCACTGTAAAATCAACATATCTGCAGTTGGATCATGTATTAAGGACTGTTGTATTTTCTGACAAGAGTCTATAGGCAAGAAAATTGTAAATGTATCATGAACTTGCTTAGTTACTGATGAAAGAAGGAAAGTGAAACAATTTTTAGATGGGGTCCCTATTCTTTTTTTCCTGCCTTTACCAGGCCTTTTCCCAATGTTATCGAAAATTACGCTTGCAGTAATAAGACTTGCAGCTGACAACCCGAAAGTCATCATGTTACTAAAACGCCACAAAAAAAATTAAATTTGGACATTACACTTGCAGTACTTGTCCAGTATCTTTGATATTGGTACTTACATAGGTAATTGCTTTTCAGTTAGACCGGCACTTTCTTGTAATCAAGAGTCCACATAAAACTTTCAATTGAAATGGTGATTCAGTTATCAGCTGTCTACCAAACTGTTTAAAAAATACATTTAGCATTTATAAGTTATAAGTAGACTATACCTGTAAACATTAGATATCTAACAGCATCTACATTATGATGAAATTGAAAAAAAAAATACTGTTCAAATGATCTGATGATTTATCATTTATAGAGAGTCTTTAGATTTATTTGTAAAGAGACCAAAGTTAACCAGTTGCTGGGCAATAGAAAATACTGTGCAACATTAATGAAGTACATAAATTGTATATGAGAAATAATACTTTTAACAAACATATGATAATACTATTTAGCACAAAAAACATCTGAAAATCTTAACAGACTCTTTATCAACTCTATAACAATACACTCCATATATCATATGATCTGACTAGTCATACATCCTTCAACAATATATAGTTTATAATTGAAGACTTGAAATAAAGAAGACTAACTAAATGTTGTTAATGGGTGTGAAGCGCCTCATTGTTCTCGGTATTTTCACGTATTTGGTTTGTTAAATACCTAGCATATAACATTTAAAGAGAAGTTAACTTTGATTCGGATTCAATGTTTCAAAGAATTCAGAACATAAAAATTTCCCCATAAACATTTTAAAACTAATACATTATGACTGACAGTGATTATTAAATTTGATTTCTTCATTTTGAACATAATGTTCAAGAATTTGTAACTTCTTTGGAAATGGAAGTACTGTGTTCCTTATTTTAATATTGTATGTTTGTACTTGAAATTAAAATGGAAAATCCTTTAAATCTGGAGCTCTATAAAACTTTTAGTGGGAAGATAAATATTATTTATTAAAACACATTTTTTTTATATATATTTAGAGAACCTTCAATATTATTTATTAAAACACATTTTTTTATATATATATATTTAGAGAACCTTTCATTTATGAGCATAAACTATTTAGTGATTGAGGTGTCCAGAGTTCTTTCAACCATTGCATGAAAGAGACTCGTACAATTAGTATTTACAGTACATGGAATCTGAATTTATAAAAATCACCATGGGAAGAGAAACAAATTTAATTCCGAGCATTTTCCATGTTCATGTAACCATTAGAAGTTGCTAGTTCTTTGTGCGCTTGTACTGAATGTCTTGTTTAAATTAAGTCTTCAATCTATTTCATACACCATCAGCAATACCTTAAAAAGAAAAATACCATCATATATAATACCTAAAACAAATTAATTTGCATGTTTTTCTTTAGGTGTGTGAGCAACCACTGTAGTTGTACAATTATTGCAATTGATTATACACACAGACACAGTCTTCATATTTAAGCAGTTTATCTTAAGTATACAGTAAAGTGATCACCGGTGACATTAATAAGTACAGTAGAGAAACAATTAATGTTCTTACTATATTATAAGTTGTAATTTATCCTACATGTTATTCGTAAATGGATTCTCTTTTATTGCAAAAGGAATTTACATTTTGGTAGGTCTGTAAAGTTAAGGGAATACAGAAGATAAAAGTACTTAATTTAAAGTTCCAGAAACACATATAAGTAGAGGGAACTGGAGTGAATTGGTTATATGTGCTTTGACTGAGAACTGGATTCTGTGCCAACAACTGTAAACTCTGATTTGCTTCCACGGAAATCCATTACGTGACGCAGGTTAAATTTTCACTTCATATTGTCAGTTATAAAGTTATTTTTATGGGGGTTACAATGTCCTCCTTACACTGTAACCCTGTAACAGAGGTTTCTTCATGTGTGCCGCCCTTCTGTTCATCCTGCTGTCGATAGATTTACAGTAACGAGTAGCCAGCGAAGAATTAGTTGAATTATGACGCTGTTCAAATGTTTAAATCTTACATAAACATTATACGATATTCCTAATTGAATCTGTTGAAAAATTCAGTGTGTTTTAAACACACAAATTTTGATTACAGTAACAGTTAATTTTATATATTACAAAGCTTTTTATACATTTTATTTTAGAAATAAGATAAAATTTTAATATCATTTTATGGTTTGCTACCGCTTAGTTCATTTAACACTCTAGAATCTAATTTTGTGTTTTGCTTCAGTCATGGGTATGATGTGACCTCGGAAATAATGTTCCATATGGAAGTACAGTCAAACTTTAGTTGTATTTCACGATGTATGTGTAACTATTACTTCCATGTAACGTGTAGTACTCATTCACATCAAATATTTCCAGTTTAGGTTTCATTCACTCACTTTTATTTTAACTACGTCTCTAATATTATAATCTCAAATTCTGTGTTCTCTTCACATAATTATGCGCAGTTTGCTCACTGCAGGTAGCATATTTTTTCTATAAGCACATATTTCCTTGTTTTTGTTTATCCTTTGTGCCGCTCATATTCCGTAACAGAGACAACGGACACACTACTATAACATGTTCATCATAGCGTACAACATGTCAGTTTCAGTTGACAGTAAATAATTAAAAATTTCGCAGCATTCTCATGTAGAATTAATCTTTCGCAAGGCATGGCGAAGTTAAAGATTATAAATAGAGATTATGTAAGACATGTCCTTTTGGTGATGACAAAGGCCAAACCTTGCGGACGTTAGAGGTTACATTTTAGGGGCTGAAAATGTGATGTAATGGAAACTTTGCATAAAGATAAAAGAATACTGATTTATATAGTTTAAAAATGTTAAATTATCTATTCAGGTATATTATTTGACATGTTTTAAACTACATACAGGCCTTGTTATTCGCGTGAATGCTCTTATCTTCTGTCTCCCTCTTAATCACACATTTGATTAAATTTATTATTTTAATAAATTTAAGTACCAGATGAAGCATTCTGATCATCTTTATACAACAGACAGTAAATTTTTAATTACCTAGCAAGTAGCTACAACGAGCAGATTTATATATAATTTTATAAATGCCGAAGTGTTTGGTTATGCATATTACTAATGAGCCAATATATGAGGCATTATCTATATACTTCAATAAGCCATTTTGTTTAACATTATTCCTACACATCAGCAAATACATTTAAATTACATAATATTTATGAAAAAACTCAGATTCAAATTTTATATTTTCAAAACTACTTTTTACAATGTACCTTTCACCAATTTCTAATAAAGGAAACTTCATGGTTCAGGTACTGAGAGAATTAAGTGTACCAAAGATAAGAACAATGAAAGTGTACGTTATTTTTAAAAATTAAGTATCCAAATTGCCACTGAAGGACCTGTAGTCTACTTAAGTATTACTGATTTTTGTCTAAATATGGACTCTTCTTTGTTTAAATAATATTATAAACTCCTATACTAACAGAGTACTAGCTTATAGACCCTTAGAGGCCATATTGACATTCCGTCCGTATGTTATGTCTTTGTCGGTTTGTCGTCTCAATAATTTAAGTCTTACGTTTGATCGTTGAATATCTGGAATTGAGTTATCCTGCTAACTGGACACGATATATGAACTAATTGTTTCTGAAGCATTACATAAACTGAACGCACAATTTCAACCTCTTGGCCAACTGGATCAAAAGAGATCTATGCCTATACTGCATCTCTAGTTGTAATAATAATTTAACAGTATCTTACACCCTATAATTTGTGCTGAGCCCAGGAATATAAATAAATGCAGCAAATTCTAGATTATCGAGGGCAGCATAATGAGAAGAAGTCAAAACTATCGATAACTGAAAAATAAAACAATCGGAATTCAGAAAACCACATGGAAGATGATGATTATGAATATTTTATTGTACTTGTTTGTAATCTGAAGCCATCCAGTTAATGTTATCTTTTTGGTCCAAATAATAAAGAAGAAATTTCAGCAAAATGATTTTGGCTTCATGACTTAGTTCCCTGAAGTCATTCTTAATCAGTTTAACTATTACTTTCTTATTGTGCTCATTTTCTGATACACATATTAAATGTACAGAAAATATAACATTAACCATTTTAACTGCTGTGGAACAAGAGTTTCTTAGGAGATTTATGTTTAAACGTACAGTGTGGTAATTTGTTGAACGGTATTGCAAATCGTAATAGTCGCAGCATATCAGACTGGCTTGTAAGGCACTGACAGCTATCATCTGAAAGATAATAAAATGATCACTGTTATAGCTCTGCGTCAAGACAGTGGTTAGCCCTGACTGACAATCATACGCATGCTATATATACACCATGACAGATGTTGATTTGACTTGTCGACTGACAGTGAATATTTTATCAGTACTTCAGTTCCATTTCTGTTACAGAGTTCTTACATTGATGCCACTTTATTATTGTGACTGGTAATATTTACAAAATGGAAATAATTTATTTATTTCAACATAAAATGTTAACTTATTTGCAATGAAAGAAAGAAAATTATGCTATTTTTAAAAAAAAAATTATAATTGCCACATCACACTACTTCTTTTTGTGTGGTGGGAACATGTGAGATTTACCAGTCTGAGTCTGATAACTGCACTTCAACTGTCTGTACTTCTACAGAGTGTCAGCGCAGAGCCCCCCGTCAAATGATCACAATAATACTGAGTAACATCAATGTAAGAACTTAACAACTCAGAAATGGCAGCAAATCTGATAAATCATTGTCTACATTTTCTGCTCCAGATGACCTCCCCAAAAACTTCCATTGAGTATTGTTAACACAGTTTTGAATCACTCTGTATTAGAATGGAACTTACTTAGGCAATACTAGTCTTGTCCTCTTCCACATCCATGTACAGGCTTCCTGATCCCCAGAGAACACGATTCTTGGTGACTGGAATGAGCCATATTAACACTCCAGCAACAACTATCCAGACTCCAGCCACGTAGAATGATAGATCCCATGATAGTGTGATGTCAAATATCAGACCTGTGAGATACAAGTTAAACAATTAAACGCGAGCTATTCAGTATGAATTAAAGCAACGAAAGAAAATGGCTGTTTACTGGGTTATAACTCTGCGTAGTATGGTAGAAGTTTACTGACGTTTCAGAGGTGCTTACTGCCTTCATCATATACAGTTTAATGCACAAAGTTATTGCTTGGTATTAATAAGCGTCATAATCATGTCAACACAAGAGTAAATAACAGAAAAGATATGTCATGTCATGTCATGTCCTTTAAACTGTGTACTAGAATGCTTTCTTTAAATGTAGAAACAGTTGGTGGAGGTGAGGGAAATGCGTTCCCATACATTTTCCTACGTAATATCAGAATCTGTATGCAGGAAGTTTGCTCTACCAAAATTTTAATCATTTCCACTGTCATTTTGTTTATCTTTAACACATGTATGCCGGTCGTAACTGTCAGATGAACAAACATGAAACCTAAAAGTTAAACTGCAAAGTTATGGAATTTATGTGAGCACAGAGTTCCAAGCTTTATTTTGCTGTTCTGGATATTTCTCAGGAATTTTGATATCTATGAGTGATGTGTTCTAGGATCCATCCAAATTACATGTATGTTAGTCCAGCAATAATCATGACTTGAAATAAATACAGTGCCACTACTCTGATCTGGAATGACGTGGCAAGTAAGATTCTGAATCTGATTTTAAAGTAAAGAAACTGTTATGTAATGAATGCTGTACAAACACCCCAAAGGACAGCTAGCTATCTTCAGACTCACTGCCATGAAAACCTCAAATCGTACCTCCCAGAGGTGGTCCCAGCAGGTTTCCAATGCCTTGGCACAGCAAAACGAGACCGTAAGCCGTCGTGAACCTCTCTAGAGGAATCAGCTGCACCACTATGGGGGGGGTGAACGAGAAACTGGATGCAAAGAATGCACCAAACAGGGCCACTGTCACAGCGAGCAACCAGTAGTTCTGGACAAATAATGGCATCGCAAGTGTTGTAATTCCACATAGAACTAAGTTTACTGCATAAGTCTTGGTCACGTTCATCCACGCCTGATCTCCGGCCCAACCCAAAAAAATCTGTTGGAATAAGATGGTAAACATGTCTTCAATAATAATTTGACTCGTATCCTCCTAAAAGTATACTGACCAGATTTTGGATACAGAAATTCAAACTTATTCACAGAAGAGACTTGTCTTGATCCGAATTCTCCAATATTATACAACGAGATCTTACCATGCCTAAGAAGTTGGTGAAGCCAATGATACTGAGCATAGTCGAGGCTTCCTGTTCAGTGTAGCCGTTGCGGACCATGAGTTCCGCTAGGTAGAAGTACGGAATAATAAACCAAGTGAAGAGCAGGATTGTACCAAGAGACAAAAGTAGGAAGTGCCACTCCAAGAACATTGAGAAGTCCACCATATCCTTCAGCAGATCCAGGAAGTCAGCGTACCATTTCTGCGTGAAATAAAAATGGTTTAAACTGGATTTAGAAAATAAATAATGAATAGGGTAAACCATTTGATTAAATGAATTAATTTCTTTGATGCCAATGATGATGACCTCTTGAGGTTGAAACGTGTTTGGCAATAGCGTCTCTTTTATAGTGTTAATAGTTGTTTGTTTGCTTATTTTATATTCTATAATGCACTACACGGTATGCAAAGTTTTAAGATCATAGTCACCGATTAATAAAGAAACAAAAAATTCTTTGGGAAAATGGGGTTGTTGGAGGTGGTAGTTGTCACTTGAAGTAAGCAGAAGAGCAGGGACCCTTTTCAAAATGTTAGCTACACTAGAAACAAACATCTGTGGTCCTCAAGGAGATGAACATTCATGGTAAAGGACAGTGGTATAGCAATCTCTGCAGTATTGTTTACTAATCGACCTAAGTTACTTAAATGAACCGTTTTATATATCATCAGGAGGGAGGATGACTGTGAATGGTAGTAGGGATGGATTTGGTGGGATACAGTCATGATCAGTTTCGGGTTACTAACCCTGTATTCGAGCTTAAAAATCTGTACTCCTCTCCCAATATTGTCAGGGTGATTAAGTCGAGAAGAATGAGATGGATGGGGCATGTAGCGCGCATGGATGGGAGAAGAGGTGTGCACCGGGTATTGGTCGGGAAGCCTGAGGGGAAGAGACCGCTGGGGTGACCTAGACGTAGATGGGAGGATAATCTCAGGCGGGATCTATGGGAGATAGGAGTTGAAGGAGACTGGATTTTGTTGGTCCGGTGGAGGGCTTTGGTTAATTTGGTGATGAACCTTCGGGTTCGGTAAGCCATCTAGTTAGTTAACCTTATATTTGCCTTGACAGACCAGGGGAAAATGTGAAAAACCTCAGTCAGGATGATACATAACTTGATTGAGATCTGAACCAGCTACCTCCCAAATACACTGATACAATTTGAGCTAATGAGATTGTTTGTTGTTTATCAATAAGTTTCTTTTGTCACAGTAAACAAAAGTTTGTGATGTGAGACTTGATGTTTTCATGACAGTGAGGATGTCGACGTTGTTCTTCGGGTTGTGATGCCACGTAGAATCAGATACTGTCTTGAACCCTGAAGATGGTGACAGTATCTGGTATCTACCTATCAGTCTGTGTGGTGTCACAACCAAGAACAACACAATCAAAGTTTTGTGACTTTGAGGGGCACTAATAATAGTTATTACTTTAATTTTGAGAATCTTTAACACCCAGGGATAAGTGATGTCAACTGTCTGCGTACCTGATTGACTTTATGTTACCCTCAGTATACAGAGTACCTCTGGCTGTCAGATATTGACTTCAGTTGGTCCAGTAGATGAAAGCTCATTGTGAGGTGTGGAGTGCTTGATACTGTACCGGTTCTCACCGGTTGATTCTTGAACACTCCTTATCCTAACAACTGACATGTCCAACATTTTAATCTGTCAGATATGTATATTCAGGAACTGATATGGTCTATTATGTCCGCACACAGTATACCTATAAAGCGCGCTTTGCCAGAAGAATTTAATAGAGAATGTAATTTGTATTAAAATTATATATAAGCTGATAGTATTTCTATGAAGACACTGGGATAATCGTGTCTGCCTATTTTATGAGGTGGGGGTCATTTCAGAAGGCCTCTGACCCTACCTTATATCCACCTTGAAAATGACAAATGCAATTTTTGTGGAAATGTCTGTTAACGCCAAATATTTGACGCAGCTCTTACCTGAAAGTCAAAGTTATACGCTGAATTTCTATTAACAATATTTAATGATGATGAGCTGCTTGTGTTTCGCTCTTACCTCTTCATTCTCCTTTGCGATGGTTGTCATGGAATTGCGGTAAATATCAGGACAGGACGAAGCTCTGAGCCGATATTTGTGGATATTCAGCATGGCTCCTCGGTACATCACGGAGTTTCTGAAAAACAGTTACAAAAGTTTAGTTACATTTCTAGATTTGATTTTAAAAGAAAAACGTCTGTTCTTGGAAATATCCCCCAAGGGTCAATACACAGATAAGGTATTGAGACAGAGATAGAGACTTTGAAACCTTTGTGTCATACTAATGGATCACTAAGATAACAATAAGGAATCCATTGGATTCTTAATACTGAGTAATCACTACCACTACTTATAAGCCCAATACCAAAAGTGCAGGACTTCAGAAGCGAGAGTTTTGGTATTCATTCAGTGAGATTTCAGGTTCTAATGTTGGCAAATATGAGGATGGCCCGTCTTCTGGGATGTTGCACTGTGTATTCTGGTAAAAATTGGAAGATGTTTCAAAGCTGCTTACAACCTCCATCATCAGGGCAGATGACAAAGGCAGTATGAACCTCTGAAGTGCCAACAGATTTCTACCAGACTATGCAGTGCAACAACATTTAAGATGACAGTCATCTTCGATAAACTATGAATTAATGTCACTTTTACGACTTTATGAGAGGTTGGAAAACAGCGTGCTGAGGAAATTATTTTGAAAGAGTGAAGTAACAGGAGAATGGAAGAAACTTCATAATGAGAAACTTGATAATTTGTGTTGTTATGTGATCAAATGAAGGCCGATGAGTTGTGCGAACATATAGCATACGTGTATAAAATTGCAGCCAGATTGAAGGAGACCCACAACATCTTAATGTTGCTAAGGCAAACTAGATGCTATGTTAAGCGAAGAAGTGGAATGCCACGAGTTGAAACTGATCGCCAGCTCAAAACGGGGTCGTCAGCATCCGGATATAGGCGGATATTACCGAAATATTTGTGAAAGCCTGACACGACAGGGTACAGCATTTTGGCTGGTTCCACACGGAATGATCATGGCCGCGCGACTGTTGTGAATGAGTGATTCGCCATTGACGACCAATTCGTACCTCCTCAGTCAGTTTAAAAATGGATGCAGGAGAAGTGACAATAGTTCTATATTTTTATAGCTGAGTGCACCACAAAAATGTGAAAACAAAGTTTTTGGGTGCAGTTCTTTAAACACAAGTAAAGCTGTCCCACTATACGCCACGTAGGCGCTTGGGGGGAGAGAAGATATAGCTCCTACTCATTCTTGACCTCGGCACTAGATGGGGGGGTGAGTGGTCAGCATCACGCCCCGGCCGGTTTTACCCCCGGGAAAGGACCCCGATACTCATTGGATACGAGGCTGGGTGGGCCCCAGGAACGGTCTTGACGCAGAGGCTAGAGGAAAATGGAAATAATGTTTACAAATGCAACGTCACTTCGGTGGTAGCGCGGTCAAACCGGTCGCGAGGAAAGTGGCTTGTTCAAACCAGCGGCGCCACCAGAACGGACCGTGAACTGGCCACGCCACGCCGTTTGGAAGGTCATGGTATATAGTGTGTATGCAACACGTTTTAAAATTAGAACCCAAGCAAGTTACACCGCCACAATCCGGATATACACGGTATTGTCTGGTGTGTGTCGGCCTGCCATCCACACGTACGAGGTATGATGGAGTGGGGGGGGGGGAGTTCAGTTTGTGCGTACCCCCCTCCCACCCCTCCACAGTATTTCTAACTTATGTATGAACTCGTCATGGTGCCAGCCATGAAACTGGTTACACTGACTGCTCCACGGAACATAATCCACCTCCGTCAGCTGGTTCAGAAATTCCACGCCTTGTGGACGTTCAGTGTGTCGTGATGATTTTCATTCTTATACTTTGTCTTAGTAGGCCAGGGGTGGAAAACTAAGGCATGGCGAAAATCATCAATGATATTCAGGTACAGGGTGTCCAACTGAGGAGTAAAGTTTACAACCCCGAGAACAAAGACTGACGACTCAACTAAAGCACTTTATCTCGCCAAGACAGACGGCCTGATCTTACTAGCGGCACAGAAATCAACTTACCTGTGTACTCGAATGTTCTGGAGGTAATGCGGAGACTGGGTTGCAGCGAAGATCTGTTTCTTGATTGTCGGTCCCGATTCATGTTTGTCGTGCTTTTTTACCGATGACTTTGGGGATCTGGTGATGATTGCGATGGCTTTGTGTTCGTCTTGACCGTGGCCCTCCAGAAGAGGTGTGCTTGCTTGATCCTCTGAGTGATGATGCGATACTTCGGCAGGAGCGTGCTTGGTTGCTTTGATGGCTGCAACCGGTACACGAGCAGGCAATATGGAGCTTTCTGGAATTGTATTAAGCTTCCCATTGTCACTCAGACTCCTGCACATCAAGAGACTGGGATAATTCTCCAGGATCACGTTGTAAACTCGTTTGTTCGATCCCAGTGACTCCAGAACTTCCAGCGGCACCTGCCAGATACACATTGGAGTTTTTGTTTAGATTGTCCCATTAGAGAATTTCTATGTCTGTCGTCGGAGAAAGGATATTTTCTCGTAAATCTCGTATGTAGCAATGTCATCTGTGTAGAGGCATAATTCTGCACTATTTTGAAAGGCGTAGTATAACTGTAGAAATTAATGCAGGTTTCGTTTAATTTTAAGAAGATATCTCGTTGTAAGGTATAGTCGGCGGAGTAGTTTTTGGTCCGGTGGAATTTTCAAGGGTAAGGCTAGGAGCGAGTCACTTGTGCGATAGTATAATGCTGACTGCACCGAGGAGCTTATCGGACTGAACGCCCAAACAAAAGAAACACACTGACCGTGCCACCTCAGGTACACAGAGTAGGCCCGTCCGCCAGCTCCGATAGCTTCTCCACTGGCCAAGAACTATTGCGCCGACTATAGCAGAATACTTCACAAAAAGGAGTTCTTTACAGTAGATAGTATAAGGTTCAGCGGCGTGATCTTGTGAACAAATCGAGGCTAGTGTAATGATTAACGAAAAATAATGATCTGATAGCGTTAAAAATTGTAAAAACTTTACGCGGGCCGGATAAAATGTGACGGTAGATCGGGGGACGTCCAAGACAGATTTAAATTAAGAATTGCTAATTTCACTCAGAATATTCTCTCTCTCTTTTGTGCTGCGTACAGAATAAATCCGTCGTCTGTTAAGTTCTACGTACATCCGGCTAACACCGGGTTTTTGCTCTAATATTAATATCTCTCGTGTGTACGGAATCACCCATTACCTTTTGAACCACAAAAATATGCACATTTATTACTGGTGACACCGGATTCTGAATAATTCCCTAGTAGCAACCAAACTAATTTAAGCAGAAATAGACTAGTGTCTTGGCAATCTCGATTGGTTTATTTTAGTTCGACTACGTCATTATCATTGCTGGAGCGTCTCATATAATACGAGAACCGGCAGTAACCGGTCAGTTTACAAAGATGTGTTTTATTTGTTAGTTTGAAAATTAAAAAGTGATGACAAGGTCTCTTTTAAATTTCTATCGTTACATGTTTAAGATTAAAGATGTCAACACGACAAGAACATGTCTGAAGTGACTGCTTTAAAACACGTTGTATCTTGAACAATTCATTTTCATGGGATAATGGCTGGGGAATTTTCTAGTTGCCATTGGAACGTTTTAACTAAATGCAGCTGCAGAAACCAACTTGAGGTGGATGCCAGGCACAAGACGTGAGCATATAAAATGAGCTGGGCTGTCATTGTGGAAGGTCAAGGTTATTATGAAAGGGCGTTCTATAAGAGTTCGATGTGTAATGTGACGTGTTTATTTAAATGTTTGTAATCGGACTTTGAGGTCACTGTTTTATTTTTCTCATGCATACGTAAAATCAGTCTGCCGTTCACTCATTGTAATTGAAAGTAAATGACCAATACACTGTATTTTCTGTCTTGCCTGTATTGATTTTCATAGCATTTAGCTGGGGAAGCCGGTTTTAGATTTCTTCATAGGCAAGGCATTTCTGTACGTCATTTCCACGTGCAAAGCATCTGTGGTCCACCCAACCTCTAATCCAATTGGAACTGGACTTAAAATTAAAAGAAAAAGTTTATACTTTTATTATAAGTTTAAAAAAATGTCAATGCCTGAAGATCTTTGTAGTCATTGGACGTACAAAAGACGCAGACTGACAGATTTACTATTGTCGACACAGAAGCTACAACCGCCAATGGAATGGGCACAGGGAAACGTCTTCTTGGGGCGTCTGTACCGAAGGTTGCATAAGCGCGCCTGTCAACTTCGTTATGTCTGAAACAATTAGAGAGCGGTTGGACTGATTTTCATTAGATCTGCCACCAGCTAGTTTTACTAAAATTTGTCGGCGTATTTTTCCTATGCAGATCTCGTGCTTAGATCGCCAGATATTTATCGGAGGGAAAAATTTTTTTGAACGAAATTTGCAGGAAAAAAAAATTAAACACATTTTATACCAGACACGGTTTTATGGAAGTTCGAAAGACTTGAGGTTTTGGAGATAGCTAAACAAGAAAGGGGTTTTATGCTGTGTCACCAGATTAATTATCATCAAACGTGAGAGAATTCAGAGGCAGTAACAGAATGTCAGATTGCGCTGTGATTACATTTCCTGACTTTGTTATCTATTGGCACAATGTCCAAAGTCACATACAGTTAGCTCAGGGTTGGACTAATTTTGTGTGAATCAGAAGTTATATACATGAATGAAACAACCAGAAGGCACCGTGTTTGGCAAAAGTCGTGCCACTGAGTCTGTCAACTTTATAGGTCACGCCCACTTTTCCACGACACAGCGCCAATTGAACGCAAATGTATTGAATGAAATACGTACGAATAAAAATGTTTCGCTGTACTACAGATAGTATGTGCTTGCAGACCGTATTCCATCCAGGTCGCAGAGTTTTGTTATGACACTCGTTTTCTTTTAGGTTCGTACTAATTGGTTTGCATCGAACTGCTGGGAACGTGAAAATATCTTTGTGGGTTATTGTGTGTGTGTGTAAGTTTCGTATTTGCATCATCATGTAGAACATTTTTAAATTCAATCGACCAACTTGTAGCTTAATTTTTTTTTAAACCATTTATCGAACCCTAATAATTTATTTACCTTAAGGATCACATACGAGTAATTGTTGATGGAGCGACAAACTCACCTTCTCTTTCTGATTTATATAAGTGGGAAGGTTTACGACTGATCTGGACGAAGCAACCCGTTGAACACCAGCATGTGGTTCATCTTGTGATGGCAAAGTGGTGTTACCAGCAAGTACTGTGAGCAGATACTCCGGTGCCTGACCACTCTTGAGCATCTTCCGGATTTCATCTACTCCTGGGAAGTCACTGTCAACCCCACTTCTTCCAGAGATTGATCCACACGAAGACGTTCCTCTGGTAGATTTATTGCCAGCTGCTAGCCTAGCTGACTTCTTCTGTTCTTGAATCCACCACTCAGGGTCTCTCATCACTGCGCCACACACGCACATGTTGAAGAAGGTCCCTGCCAGTAGGAGAACTGTCCCTCGCCAGCCATATTCTTCGATGAAGAATTGTGTCATCGGTGCATACACAAAGGTACCTATACCTGTCCCGCAGGCCCCGAGCCCGGTAGCTAGAGCCCTCTTCTTGTCAAACCAGTAAGCGATGCTCACCACCGCAGTGACGTAACATAGCCCTAAACCCAATCCTGCTATGAGCCCGAATGTAGTGTACAAGAGTTCGATGGAGTTAACGAAGGCGCTCATGGTGAAGCCAATTCCGGAAATGATCCCGCCTATAATTGTCATGGTTCTGCAGCCATAACGGTCAACCAGCGCGCTGCCAATAGGGCCTGACAGTAGTGGCACAGCCATGAAAAGACTTCCGATCCAAGCAGTTTTACTCTTGCTTTCACCGAAATACTCAAGAAATTCGATGTAGAGCAAACCGAAGGAAAAGCTAATGCCATCAGCGACCATACTGATTACCAACGATGATAAGACAACGACCCATCCCCAGCCGCCATCAGGTACTTTATTACGACCACCTTCTTCTTCTTCTTCTTCTTCACTACTTGAGTCGCTGCTGAATATGGAATCTACTTCATTTTCAACGTCGTTATCGTCTTGAAATTTGATAACAGCGCCATCGTAGATAGGATTTTCCGTTATAACAGTTCTTAGGGGAGGTTTGTCGGCGGAAAGGACGTTTCCGTTCTCGGTAGGTGGAGGAGGATTAAAGCCGGTGTTTTGTTGTCTGGGAATTCGTCGAAGTTCTGCCGATGGCGTCGACGGGCACAAGGCTGGCGGTTCGCAACCGATGCTGGATAAGGTCGGGGAGAAATCGTTGGAGCTGAAACTCACGGTTCTGGAAGGAACATCCTGACCAATACCGCTGCTGGTTACTGATTTGTTTGGAGGTGAGGTTGGTGCTTCGTCTGTGGTGGCAGGTGTCTTTGGCGTAAGCGCTGGACTTAAACTTGGCGAGTCATTACTCCAGCCCAAGATTGGTGCCATACCTCCGCTCTTTCTATGTGGCAGTGGTTCCATTTCTAGAAATTAAAAATTCCGGACCCTTTTTTATTTTCGAAAGATTTCTCTGCTTTGTTAGGTCAGTCTCTTGGTCACAGTCTGATCCGTTAATGTGAATTTAAATATTAGTTTGTATATTGAAAAGCATTCAGGGTGTATTACGAGAATTATCTTCTGCGGTGATCAGTTTCGACAGAAAATTAAAATAACCGAAACAATTAAGATGTTCCTAAGTGGCGAAATGGACAATAGATAATTAATCGTTTACACTTCATTGATTCTGTTGTACTATGCTCATTATTCAAATAATTTGTTACAGTCTCTAAATTACAGCACTAATGTGGGGAAATAATACAGTCTGAGTCCATCTTCGTGGCCAACCTTGAAGATCTAATGGGAACTGATGATGATATCGGTTCAGGTGGTTCAGAGTGTTCGAACTCTCTCTCGCGGTATCAGAGTCAACAGTTAAACTGAAACTTCTTGAGGTAATATTATGAAGATGACAGTAGTGATTATACGGATGCTCACAAAGTGTATCAGAACGTACGACACCGAAATTTCTCATCAATGACCGGTTGAAGCGTTGAAACAAATGGGACGACGAAAACAAAAACAACAGATGGGATGTTTCTTCAGTTTTTGTAGCCTTGTGATTGTAGTCGTGGCAGTGGATGTCGTTTCTTGAGGCTGACACAATCTCTGGAGGACAGTTGATATAGTTTTGGAGATCAGTCGATTCTTGTGTCCCCTGCGATAGGAGGACGGCTGCGGCAATGGATGTGTTATACCACGAACACACCATACGTCAAAGTACGTTTCCTGAAACAAGAGGAAGATTTTAATTACTTTCAGTGGGCAATAATAAATTGGGGGGACTGTTTCTCGAGGAATAGGCCAGAGTTCCGCGCTAAAGACAATTGCATGCTTATTTCAGAGATGTGTACTGTCTTTATCATGAAGGCGATGAGGGTCCTGATGGAGAGAGCAAGGATATCTGAAACGTCGGTAAACTCCTTCCTGACTACCCAGAAGATAACCATCTTCATGCTCGTCACAGTAGAACCTGAAGTCTCACTCGATAATTCTGTTAGTGACGGACAGATGTCGCGGAATCCGCTTACTGTCAAAAGTTACTTTTATCCTGGGTGACAACGGTTCTGATTCGGAGGGGCGAAGTCCCGCCAATGCATTTTGTGCTGCCTTCAAACATTTTCTGCGATATTGTGTGGCAATGTCTGATGAGAAATAGTTGCGTATCGTTACTCGTCAATATCGGTGTGAGCAACTGTTCAGCTCGTTGAAAAAAAAAGCCAGATCAAGAACTTGGACGCGTCTTACTGATGGACATTACGTCAGTAGCTCACAGGTGACCGACTATTTTGAAGATATTATTGATTGATATGTGAACCTGTTAGTAATAATGAGTACCATTTTCATAAACTGCCATGAACATTCACGAAACTACGCATACGTAACCTCGTGGGCCGCGAGTTTATACGCAAGGGCGTCTGGAAAAGTTTGAGCACTCCTAGTATAAGCCTAAGCCTCCGGATATATCTTGAGCCACATGAATCCGGTCCACAACTCATACCACTGTTTCCTTAATATCTATTTTAATATTATCATCTCACACGTTCAAGTCTCTTAAGTAATGTCCTTTATTCAGATTTTAAGTCAGCATTTAATATGTATTTCTCATCTCACTGATACGTGCTTCATGCCCAGTTAATCTCAGTTTATCACGATTTATATTAATATTAATAAGATAGTGTAGTTGCGTCATATTGTGACTTATTAAATTAAAATTAATTATTTGGTTTTTCCGTCAAATCACAATGTATTTAAAATAAGATAATTAAAATAATTAAAATATCATTCTGTGTTCCATATCGAATAATCGATTTACAATTGGAACATTTACAACATGTTTCGGTTTTATTAAACCATCATCAGGTGTAAAATTATATTAATAAATTTAAAACTCAATTACAATTTTTTACAATTTTACAATTTTAATATATTAATATTATTTGGCGAACAGCACAAATTACAAGTTCCCCATCATGTATCTTTCTTCATTCTGTAATTATTTCCTCTGTCAGGTACAAAACAGATGTATGCCGGTGTGTACGTATATATTTTTTTTGGCACAAATGGCGGTGAATCGTGTATCTAATGGAATAGCCTGTGACGTAATTCTTACGTCACGTTCATGCCGCTCTGCGTCACAAGGTATCCGTTATGGACGGACACAGCGAGTCTCACAGTACAGAACACGGCCGCATATAAAAAATATGGGTTCAAGATCTGCAGTAGTTTTTTTCCAGAAATTAGCACTGCCCGGTGCGTTATGCAACGTTTGTTTACGGACATAAAGAGCCTTGCCATAGGTAGTGCACGCAGTTAGTCGCCGGTTTCTCACCGTGGAGGCTTGCGTTCGCGCCCAGGTTAGTCGATGATGGACAGAGTGACTCTGGGCCAGGTTTTGTTTTCGTGCATAAACCGATTTTCCCCGTTAGGTACACATTACAGGACAACATAACAACCATAAAAACGCTGGCATACATCCGTGACTCGATCGGTAGACCAACACGCGAACATCGTCATAGCGACCTCGAATGTAGCGAAACCTTGGCTATGGCGTCTACTAAATAAATGCCCGTAAACACATGTTTTTCTTCTTCTCTTACAAAGACATGCATCGAATAACCAGTTCGATTTTAACGACATCTGGCACCCTGTTCTCACCCAACTGCGAAGATTTTAATGGGACTTTCTCCTACTCTCGGTGTGAACGACCCTTTTTAAACAATACCGAGTGACTTTGATTACTGTAACTTCTCAATTATATATTTTATTTAGTGTTCTGTCTGACGACAGGTCCATATGAACAGGATCCTTCCATCCTTTTCTCGGACTGGGACCTGTTCATATACGTTCTTGGCAGATGATCCAGAAGTGGTTTGCCATTGCCTTCTTCTGTGTGTGAATGGAATAATTGTTGGGATGCCACGGAAGAAAACTCCGTGTTGCCTAGACCACGGCCTTGCCCAACACAAGTTATAAATTCGGGCACCCTCGGAAAATGTATGGAAAAAGTACAGTAGCTTAAGTAACAGGCTTCGAAAACTGACAGAATGGCTGAAGGTGCATTGAAAATAAAATTGCTAAGTGTTGAGGATAAGTTAATGTGATAAAACAAACTGAGAGTGGAAATAAGAAAGTTGATGTGTGCTGGGAGTTTGGTTTACGTAATTCCACAATTCAAATTGCATGGAAAATAAGATCTGGTTTATATTTAAAGTGAATGTTGGTGCTGTACGAAATTATCATATATATTTCTTCTTGAAATATGATTTAATCCCTTCATCGGTTAGTACTTTTTATAACCGAGTCTGACTATTTTAAATGTCAAAGTTACGATGTCGAAATCTTTGGTATTTTCAACGATGATTTTGGCGTAATAACTTAATCGGTAGGAACCTGTATTCGCCACATATTAAAGAAAAATAGACGTACAGAGTCATAGTTAGTTATATTTGTAGGACACCATGAACTTAGGTTAGTGGAGTTTTTCTTACGGTTTTCTAATTTAATTTGAAATACCAAGAAAATTGAATGTGCTAATTAAAATGTGTTTGAGCGAAATTTATGATTAAATTTTACACGTATACAGATAACGAACGAGTTTTCAGTTACCACAAACTTTGAACAAGCAAATGCTTTAACCCTGTAAGTACGATGCAGAAGAAACAAACAAACAAACAAACAAACAAACAAGAATTAATGCCAAGTTTTCTACACCGTGAGTGTTGTCTCAGTGGCGTTATTCTTATAGGACCTTAGACGCCAACAGTCAATATCAAGGGCGACCTTATTACGTCAGTGCGTTGCTATGACTACGTAACCTTGTTGCCAAAATAAACAAGTTGCGTAAAGTTACATTTTTATTAAGTGTTTGTATCTTACTCAACTTAGATTTTCGAAATAACCAACATTTTACTATGAATATTTCTTGCCCGTACATTAAGTATTGTTTGTGGAAGATTATAAGCGTTAGTTTTCCTTATTATCTTGAACATTTGAATGGAGTTTAATTTTTGTTTTGTTTTAAACGTATAAAACAACTTTTACAATTGGCAACGAAAGCATGGCGAAGCGTTTTGAGTGATTCAAGCGCATGGAAGGACTTTGAACAGCTAGCTTTGCTACGCTGCTAGTTCTGAGCCGTCTTCACTCATCCAGCAGTCGCCAGACTGATGTGTACGCGGTGCATGGACACCCTGTTGTGATGACCTGTATTGATCTTGCAAATCCCGCATCCCTCGCGTCTCTAACCTCGCCTACAGAGTAAAGCATTTGTACAATCTAACCTTTACGTGTCACCTTTTCGAGTATATTTCCTCAACAAATCCAATGCAAATAGCTTTTATGGAGCTTTTGTTTAAAGTCCCACAGCAGTTCCGCACGACCTTTCATCTTTACAGATTATTATGCTTGTAGAATGGAGAACATCATAAAAAATTATATCACATTAATTGTCTTCTTCTAATTTGATTCATGCCATTAATTTAAGGGTACTAATTTGTGGGAGATAATATTAATATTTATCTTGGAGAAATACGTTGTGGTATGAAATGGTCTGAACTGACCCCAGGTTAATTAAAAAAAAAGATTCTATTATAGTCTGTTAGACATCAGGAAATGGAATAAGAAGATAAATTTAGAGAACAAATGAGGAACAACAGGATTTTTTAGAGAAGCCAACAGGAATGTACTTTAATATACCTCTCACTCAAATAGTAAAGGTGGGCCTTATAACACGGAAAAAAGTTTAAAATTTTATTGTAGGTAACACAAACGTGTTTTAGAAACGAAACAATAATTCTAATACAATGAAGGTACCAAGAAAAAGTATTAAAATATATATACCTAATACATTTTTATGGACTGTGTTCCATGGTGTTAGTTATTTTCTTATCTCCATCTTGTTTTTGGCCGCATTTAAATTTTATTTTCGTCAAAATTACATTTTCCTTCGGAGTATCTTATCGGCCCGTACCTGATATGTAAAATTCTCTAGTAGTAAGTTATTTATATAGGCCTATTCTACACTGTACTCATGTTCGCATTTTTGTACTTTCACTTTTTGTTTTCAAGGACGTGTGAGGTTATACATTTTCTTGAATAACAGATATCTTTTCGCAGCCATAGAAAACAGCAGGTAAAATCCTTCTTCGTTTTCCATGAATCAGAGGCCATCTGGCCTGTTGACACCCTAGATGTATTATCAGGCCATCGAAAGACCTCTCTACTCACACAGGACAACAGACCACACGAAAACTTGTGTTCTCATACGGGATTCGAATCCGCGTACTGTTCATGTATTGCACCGCATATCCACTGTGATCGGCGGGTAAAATTATTATTACACATCGAGTGACCAGAAAATATTCGAGAACCTCACCGATCCCCCGTCCAAGGAGTCCTATCAAATGCGATTCAAGGGAATGGCCCGGTTGGTCGTGTCGAAACATCACCCGAAACTTTGCTCGTCTACAGAGCCCGTCTAGTAATGATTGTACACAAAATTTCAGCTGCTGATACGCTGTGCAAGGGTGCGAAAAAATTGAACAAAATTCGAATGTACATTTAAAAATCGCCCTGATGACGGAGGCAGTATGACCTC